GTTGAAAATTCAAAAAAATAATAATATAATAGTAGTTAGATCGAGCCCGTGACCGACTTCAATTAGCAGCCAGCTTACGTTACGTGTCGACTTTGATTCCTACGCATGCACACATGTATGTATACCTTCTTAGGAAGTTCAGTTGGAACAAAGTGTCACAAACAACTGTGTAAGTACAATACAAACAACGACAGATCATGTGTTTTAATTTTCTATAACTTTTTGGAAAAAAAATCAATCATGCATAACTCAGACGCTAAAAAAATCTATCGTATAACATTCTGATACTTTTTTAGGGTTCCAAAGTATCTTCTCTCTTTGTGCGTGCATTTTTCCCACATGATATACGAAATTACTGCATTTTGTTTTCTTTGCGTCACTCAGACGTAATTAAATGAATTTTTCCGTGCTTCCACTTCTAATTTTAAATCACAAAAACTGGCTGTGGGTGCTACATCTTAGATACTTTATTATATTTAAAAAGTATGGTTGCCCTTCATGTTGTCCATAGTTTAAATTTGATTCTTCAACCAATTTTCCTACATTTTTTGTCTCATATTTGCACACCAGACACGATATATCATCAAAAATCAGAATGTTTGGATGCTGACACCGCCACCAAGTCGATCCTGGACCCATCCTTCAGATCTTATCGCCCTTCTTTCAGTGTAGCTTCATAAAGGGCGCAGGCCGCACAGTGGCAAAGCAGGCCGCACAGTGGCAAAAGTAGCCCATCATCCCAGCTGGATAGTATGGTCTGATCAGGAAGCGGATTTGTAGCACCCGGGTGCTCCACACCCTATATGAACATTAAATTCAAGAAAAATACCAAGAAATCTTTTTAAAAAAATCTGAGTTTGGGATATCAAACTTGGGGTCCCGATCTACTTCCGTGTGAAATTTCGTGAAAATTTACCAGGAAACGTATTCGTGGCAAAAAAGATAAAATTTCATATGTATAGAAAAAACTGTTTGTAAGGATTTTTTTTCGACAGTATTTCCTTCGTCATGGATACATTTCCTGATATTTTTTGACGTAATTTCACAGGGGGGTAGATTGAGAACCCACGTTTCATATCCCCAAATTTTGATATTTTTTCCAGTTTTTTTGGTATTTTTTACAACTAATATTCGTATAGGGTTGTGGAGCACCCAAGAGCTCCTGTGTATTTTTCATTCTGATCACCATCTTATTAGTTCAGTGACAATATCTATGTCAAACAAAATTGGAAGTCATGTCAGCAAACATCGGATGCTCATACTATTATGAACTGCCCATTTTTGCAAGAAAAAAATACAAGAGAGGACAGATTTGGGATTAAGAGAGAAATATTTTACAAAAAGCCAAAAACACGTCCTATGTATTCATCACAAATCAAGAAAGTAGAAAGAACACCCTGACTCACAGACCACCTAGAGACGATTACAAGCATCGAAACGTGCCAAAGACGTCCCACCATTATCGCCCCTCCCTCGTCAGAGTTGGGCAAACTTTGCTGTAGTAGACAATCGGGTAGTCGTCGTGCTAATGCCTCACATGACTAGCGGACTAGAACAATGACCATCGCTGATGAAGTCAATGGTAAGTCGAAATTATCCAACTCGTAGACACGAACAGATTCAGTCAACGACCGGGTTAAAGAGGATCCACCTAAGACAACCTCCGAGCGAATACCTTGAGATCCACCCGAGACGCACATCCACACACCCTACGATGACGCTCAACACATTGTCGCGACATCGGCTAGAGGGAAGACCGTAATCCATTGTCAGTGAGCCATCACCGTCTCTCCTTCCTGATTAATTGGGACACAAACACCAATCAAACACACAAAACTCTTTAAACTGGAGCCCTTCCGCTGACAAGGGCCGGGATCCACCGCGCCGCATGGCCCTAATTAAGGTGACATGAGACGAGACAGATCGGTGGTGGTGGTGGTGGGGTCTACTGATGGTGTCCTGGATAGGGGGTGCTAACCACGTTAGCTCCCAGATATGGCTGGGCCGAGGACCCCAAAACCACCAACCAGTGGGCAGCGTTAGTCAAGCATCGTGAAAACTAGATGGGATCCTCCAAAGATTTGTCGCACACTCCAAGGCACAAATGTGATCCTTGGCATGTTTATTCCCAAATGTAACCAACCTAGGTGTAACCCTAGGTATCCCGGGTGTCTATACAAGCCAAGGGCTTCAGACCACAGAGGTAGATTCATGCATACATACAATCTCGAGTTAGATCAACCTTAAGTCTGTACCCCATCCACAATGCAATAAAATACAATACATCCTTTTGAACAGTCCGGTGAACGTTCATGGTAGAGAAGTTCTAATAATTTTAAATTCATCTCAATTTGTTGATGTTAATTAATACTAAACTTGCAGTCAAAAGAAACGTGCCATCTTACTGAATGTTAATCAACTTTGTATCTTTTTATTTTTCAATCAATTTTGTTTTTCTTTAATAATTATTCTAATTTGGACAGGCCGGTGAACGCAAGGGCATATTTTCTAGTCTCAATCTCAACTGTTAAAGGGGAGTTGGTAATTGTACGTTGGCGCGGGCCACCTCCCTTGATGAAAATTTGGACCAAATTTTAAATCCAAACAATTTCGGATAACCAGCCTAGCTAAGGTGTTCCCGTGAAGCCTTGACCGTTGAACATGCATGTCCCCCCTTGACGCCCTAGTGAAAGAATAACTCTGCAGATCAATAAGCTTTTCAGAAAAAAAGGAAAAACCTTATATGAAACTCGTTAAAAATCTTTTGTTCCGAACAAGGGCATGCTTTCCCAGAGAGGGCACGACGCCCAGGCAGTGCCAAGAACAGTACATAACTTAAAACGCCCGATCGCCACAAGATCCAAAAGGCTTTGCGCCAAGGCACCCCGGCCCGTCTACAAAGTAGTACGTACAAACCCACGGCGACGAAGACTCCGAAGCTCGAACCACTTCCATTCCCACCACCGCCCGCCTCCCGTCAACGCGAGGAGCGAGGGAGCGCGGCAGCCGCCGGGCCGGAGGGCAGCGCGTCATCCACACCGACGTCGAGCCGGCGCCGCGGGATGCCGAAGCTCGCCGTCGCCGCCATCCTGGCGCTCGTGGGCCTCCACTTCCTGCCGGCCACCCACTTCCGCCACCCAGCCGGCCGCGACCACCGCCGCACCTGGGTCCCCTTGCACCCCTCGCGCCACCCCCAGGTACTGCTGCCGCCACCTTTCGCCGTGCCCGTCTGGCTCCCGGCTCTCTGGAGCTCTCTGTTATCCGTATTCCCCGTATATTTCTCGTATGCATATTACTAGAGCTGGTATTATTTTCCCGCCGGCAGGATCTGTCCCACGAGGCTACAAGTGTAGATGTCTTCTCCTGGATAAGCTGTCTGGATCTTCGTACTCTTGCTGTGCTCACAAACTCCACCCTGTCCAGCTCAAGGTGCAGCTTCTGCGTTCCACTTCACGTGTATTTCAGCAATTTTGTTACAAGGAAATTGGCACAATAACATTATTCAACCTTAACTAACAGAATATTATGCAACTGTGATATACAAGAATTTTGGTCTGCATGAAAAGGCTTCATGATTACTTGCATGTAATATCAAGTAACAAACCCCTTGCTCTATAAAAGTGAGCGATAAACCCCTTAATTTGGTATTGGATAGTTTCACCAATATGTAGTCTAGAGATATACTAGAACTTATGCCAGAATTGTATCTATCTGTAAGTATTTTTTGAGTGGTGTCTTATATGGTTGGCGTGTTCCCTTTTCCTTCTTCGACAGCCATCCGCATGATGTATCCTTCAATTTCTTGATACCTGAAGGAGGCAAGGATCAATTGCCCTACTACAAGCTAAAATCAGCACTACCAGCTGATTCAAATATTACTTTTACTAGGTGACCACACAGATTAAAATGCTCATTTATTGTTGGAATTCCTGTGTCCTCATACTTATTACCTCTTCAGTCAAAATCAAATCAAGGAAAAGCTAAATGTTACCACTCCAGAAGGAAACTTTCTTTGGGCAGTCCGCAATGAATTGTCACCAATCATTATCACAACAACTCAACTCTCGCGAAAGAGATATGTTTATATCTCAGCAGACTCAATCATAAAGGTACCATATGCATATGTTTTATGTATTTATTCAAACCTATTACGGAACTTCCCAAGAAAGAACCATTTATTCCATCAAGACCTTTTCTGCCAGAGTATAGTTCTATTCTGTTGCTGGTCGTATGGCTTGTTCGCTCTCTATGGAAATAGGCTTTTGCCCCGCTTTATATATAAAAGCAAACCGCCACAAGCATACAAAGTTCTCACAAGGTAGCAACAACAAACCAAAGCAAGCAAATAAAATGAGTCTCATGAAAAAATGTGGTTTTGCTAAGGGCACCAGCTCAACAAGCCCTAAAGAAATAAATGAGGAGGACGCCGCGCAGGCTTCTTCGCTCTCTCAATCATCTAAGCTGTCATAGTGAGTGGTAACTGATAATAGTTTAGGTAGAATGCCACAATTGCACATCAAAAAATTTCTGGAGAGAAGTTTGTATTGACCATATTTGCATTAGTACTATCAAATGATTGGAATTTTATTTTACCAGTCTTTACTTTGCTTGAAACGGATTTACCAGTGTTTTTGAAACAATAGATCAATCAACAGAATAGACCTACTTATTGTAAGTGAGTCATTTTTTTGCGAGTTATTGTAATAGGACCATATTGCCGGGGTTAGAAGGCATAGATCCATGGAACATTTTGAGCATGCAAATCCAATTCTGAAACACAAAGCATAATCTATCGCGTCCAAGTATACACCAAAGCAAGCATTTTTTTAGTATCTTCACATTACCTTATGTGTAACATCACTCTCCTACCCAGGGAAAAATTGAAGACCTTGTTCGCATTGATTTAGGCAGTTATGCCATCGGTGTTGCTGAAGATTGTAGCAAGCGCCTTGGTGATTACATCAGTATGGATGTTCTGAATGTTGTTCGAAGAATGGCTCCAAAAGGTTTGGTATATAGTGAACCTTATGACAAGAACGCGTGCTTACTTGATTTTGATGTGCTTCTGGTGGAGCCACGTAATCTAAAGAGGAATTTGATTCACTCTATCGCATTCTGGTCTAATGTTGGCAACGTAGCTAATGAAAGGTCAGTGACCCAAAATGCGTTCCGGGAAAAAATATCCATCATCCGCATAAATTAGAAAATCATATTCACCTAGTTATATTATAACACCATTTTCAATACATCCATTTTCAGGGATAGAGTCAGGTGGGCAATGACTTTAGCCTTCTATGACAATTATCTAAAGCTCCCAACAAATTGGAAGCGTGCAAATGCTAACACAGACATTATCTACTACGACGGACCCAAGAACGTTTGCTCTGAAGATGACGGTCAGCATCAAGAAAAAGGCTCCGGCAAGACCTGGCAGCAGTACCTTAGTCAGAAGTCCGAAGCCATACTGAGCACCTGAAAGATGCCACTTCCTTCTATGTTCTCCATTGTGCGTTAGTGAAAGATCCGCATTTCAGGTGTAGATATATGATGCTGGTTACCTATTTACCTATCGCACATCACAAGTGAAAGAGGCGTGTGTGTGTGTGTGTGTGTGTGTGTGTGTGTGTGTGTGTGTGTTTTCCAAATGATCACTAAAATATTTTATGGTACACCGATTACTTTCAGCCAAGCCAAAAGCATGTCCTCTTTGTAGAAGAATATTTTAAAAGCATAAGCTTGCTTTGGTCTACAATTTTTTCCATCTCGAAATGTTGAGTCAAATGTGCATTCCGCTCAGCCAATATTGCACGAGCCAGATCATTCACTCCACCCTTTTCCTATCACAACATTGTTCGTGGTCCTCCACAAGCC